TTTCGTTTTTCACTTCACTTGTTGATTTTATTTTGAAATTACTGAGAGGAAGATCAGTATCGAGAGCGAACCGAGTTCATTATGATTTCGATAATAGACGTTTTTTCTCACTCAACTAATGTCACCCCAAATTATATTCCCGTTCATTTCAATAATAAAGTGGCGAAACGTAAATGTATTTGTTAATCTTGCGAATCACGTAGTTTTTCATTCTTCAATGCGGCATAATATTCATGATTTGAGTAAAGTTTTATGTGAATTGAAAATATAATCATCTTGATTATTCGATTTGAATAATCAAGATGATTGTCAAGGTGGAATATATTCGGTACTAATGTGTGGCTTCGCCCGGGCAGTATCAGAGAAAATTGACCTTAGAACTCAAGAAAATTTGAGGGTATTTCAAAGAAATTGAGAAAATTCTCGGGTGTTTTAGAAAATTCGAAAACACTGAGGTGTTTTTTTAATTGTAGGAATTCGCAAAAATTCTGGTATTCAATTTTCTCTTACGAGACCGAACGCGCGCTACAGCGCGCTGTAATTGCAACAATCATAATTGAAAATCTCAAAATTAAATTAATCATGAATTTAATTTGCCGCCTCAGACGACTGGCACCAATGAGGAATAAGCGTGACAGACTTGCGAGATATCGATAGTTATCGACTTTAAGTGTATGTTCTTTTTAGAATAGGAATTCTGTCCGGGAGAAGCCGGGTCACACAACTAGTCAATCAGAATTTGGAATTAAAGTGCTCAATTGGAACAAAAAAATTTTTTTTTTCGAAAACCTTTGAATTCCCTCGAATTTTCTAGAAAATACGAGTATTTTCTAGAAACGTTAAAAGTTCTTTCAAATTCTCTGTGAAACCAAAGCATTTTTTCAAATTTTTTGTAAAACTGAAAATTTTCTCAAATTTTGTTGAAAACCGGAGAATTTCTTCGAATTGCTTAGAAAACCCGAGAATTTCCTAGAATTTTCTGTAAAATCAATGGATTTTCTCGAACTTTCCATAAAACTCGAAAATATCCGCAAACTTTGCAGAAAATTTCAAAAATATTCTCGAAATCTCGAAAATGTTCTAGAATTTTCCAGACGGTTTCTGAATTTTCTAGAACACTCTAGAATTTTCTAGAACTTTCTGCTTCTACACAATAACTTATAACCTAAAGCCGATTGAGACCCGAAACTTCGTAATAATAAAAATACCATTGAAATCCATTCAATCGTATTTACGTGAATTGTGGCCATAGAATGGCAACAGATTATTTATTTCGGTATTATTTTCTTAAATAAAAAAATTAAATCTTTATTCAGCGCCGATTGCATCAGCTCCTGTTAATTAAATCGTCAGTTAAGGGAGAGAATCAGTTGTGAAGTTCAATTAATTATTTTAATCGACGGAGTATTTCACATTTATCCCGAAGAGAAAAAAAAATTAATAAAAAAAAAGTTAAATCAGTATTAACTCGAATGGGGCAATAGAAATAAAAATAAAAATATAACAATATAAATAAAAAATTGTTCTCCACGTTGAATATTAAAAATTGTTTACTCTACGGTATAATTGACCCGGAGGATATATTTTACCCTAGGGGCTTGGTGCAACCGGGCCTCAGGAATAAATTATGGTGACTCCACACATAAAAATATTCTCCATTCAACGCTATTTTCGTTATTTAGCTAATACTTGAGGCTATTTACATTCTTGAATCGAGAATTAAATATACACATGACGGAGAATATTCTTAAGTGCAGAATATACTCCTTTCTTGAATTAAAAATATGAAAATTATCAACTCCAAAGAAAACAACATTCCTGAGTTAAGGATATTTTCCTGCAGTTCTCAAATCAAGAATATTTGAAACGCGAATAAAAAAAAATCTTGAGTTAAAAATTTCGTAAGTTTTCACCTGACTGACACAAGAATTTCCCAACCAAAATATAATGTCTTCTTCTGAAGTTCAAAAAAATATTCCACCTTGAATAAAAAGCATAAAAATTCCCAATCATGGATATTCTTTGAGTCATTTAAGAATATGTGAATCTCGAAAAAAATTGTTGAATGCAAAACTTTGTAAGTTCCAAATTTACCGACAGAAGAAATTTCAAATCACGTATAATACTTTGCTATCTTTGTTTCCTCGTGAAATCGAGTCACTCTAGCCGGAAAACGCTAAACAATTTTCTCCAATTAACAAAATTTCAAACAAAGACGTCTTTTGCCATTTTGCGAAATAATTGGCCGTTCAACAAGAACCGATCTATCGATTTCTCCTCTTGTGTTGCGTTTCACCACTTCACTACTGAATGAATCCCCCCGGGACTAATAAAAAAATTAAAATCGACAATTCGCATCACTGAATCGTTCTATGCAATTCCCACTGCCTAATTACCTCCCCGATCTACCCTCACTCATTGATTCTCAATTCAATATCCTCGGCGTGGTTGACCCGACACTATAATGCACTTTTCCGATGAATTTATTTTCTCGTTTTTTCCTATATAAAAATACTGTGTAGGTTGTATCGTGTCCAGTGCGCATTGAGACATAGTTTCAGAGAAGAACATGTTTGAGGGGAAATAACTGTTGTTCCTTTGTTCTGTTATGTTGATGATTGTGTCCATTTTTGGTCCCATTTCGCGATGTCAAACCCCCTTTGGCGAAAGTTTTCGTTAAACCAATAGCAATGGGAAAATTAATCGAGAAAACCCGGCAAAACAATCTAGGTCATCCATCTCACTCAACGTATCTCTCTATTCCAGATAGAAAAAAAAGCAAAAATAACAGGCTCATAATCCTCCACCCCAGCCGATGAACAATGAAATAGCTTAATCTAATTCTGCTCGCACTAAACCGCCAACTATTCGTCTACTCAATAAAAAACTTATCATTTGTTTCCTATTTTCTTCATTTTTTCTATTCAACTGTACTCGAGTGAATACTACACGTCCCTGCACTGTCCCTGTACACGTGCGCTTCATTTTATTTTATTTTCACACCTAAAGTGATAAATACTATAATCTACGGACGTTAAAGCGGATAAGATCACTTTGCATTCTTCCTCCTATTTTTTTTTAATTTTTCAATTGTATCAATCCTTTCTATCATCACTATAAATGAATATTAATCTCATGTCCATTACCACATCAATTCGTGACAATGCAAGATCCCTTCCCCTCCTATTTGAATGAACCTACTCGTATCCCCCACATGAAAAAAAAAAAAAAATAATAATTCAGCTCGTCACATAGTTGTCCGGTTCATGCTGAATCGATATACCCGTTTAGCAGATTTACCACCGTGGCTAGAATTCCTTCGACAGTTTGTCCTAACTATACCACTCCTTAAGGCCATCGTTTAATATAATAATTTGTCGGTTTATCTCTTACTATTCGCATAAAAACTAGTCGTTGACTAATTTCACGCCGATAAAGGGGAGTTTTCATAATAAATTTACTCATAGTCAGCAAGAGTTTTCGAGAGAGAGAAAAAGGGGAGATAAGAGATAAGTTTGTTTAGAAAGGTTGGTTTAGTAAGTGAGAGTTGAAAGACAGATAAGATTTTATTCACAATAGATCGCGAGATGACGAAGACTCACGTGATGTATTCTTCTATCAAATATATTCGTGATTTTTACTTCACCAATTTGTCTCTACTTCGTGGCTCTTATTTTATTCATGTTCCTCTAGACCACTTTGCATCGGTTACCTGTCTCCATGAATTTTTACCGTTTATTCAAGTATACAAGGAAACATTGAAACTGACAGATATATAGAGACAGTATAGAACAGTAGAGTAAAGGTTGAATCGAATCGAGTACCTTAATTATTGAGGTATTGAGGCACGCAAGAATGGGCGAGGGGGGCTTGTGATAGGGAAGCAGTCCGCAGCTAGTGGAAGAGTCCGTGTATTTACAGTTTTTATCCCCCATTGAATCCTCAACCGCTCTACCCCCTTCTCCTGTATCGTTCAATCCCGTACATTAGAGAAATGTTTGCAAGACCAGCTCGTTGTGGTTGTCTCCAGCGAGGTGCACTCATTGTCCTTCGTGTCTCGAATTTATGATCGATTGAGTACAGTACCTGCTGCACTTCCAACCATTGCCAATCGATCATCATCGATTCGTATTTATCAACAGTGAAAAATTACCGGTTTGAGCGAGGTGAGAGCGGGGGAGACCTTGAGGGCCACAATAATCACAGAGAATTCATGTTTTTCATTGAATGACAGAATTATACTTCAGTCACGATCTTGAGGAGATGAAGTAGGATAGTTCGTGGTTTGAGAAAAATAGATGAAGGAAAGTTTTCTATTTTTCGATTGAGGGTAAAATTTCCCCTGTCAATTTTCAAGAGCATAATTCGCTCGATTGGAGGGTGTATGAAGAAATTTTATAGGAAAACATAACGCTTTCCCTGATGTATCGATGAATTCTTGTTCAACGATTCTATTTATTCTTTAAGATATATTCTTACGCGTGTGAAAGAATCCTATAGAATTTCCTATAGCAAATCCTATAGGATTTTTCTATACGTGTTCAATAGATATTTTTTAGAAAAAACTCAATAGATTCCACTTTTTCAATATTTTTTCTTTCTCGTTACACAATCATCAAAGAACTAAAAACAAGAAAGTTCATGTCCAAGAATTCTTTTATAACACAATTCCAACCGAATAAGTTGTTTAGAAAAATGGAAATTTATTGACTTCTTTGTGTACAAAAAAATATCTGTTGAAGAACGTCTGGTAAATTGGCGCAAAGAAACAAATGGAATTTTTAATAAAATTTCAGTGCAATTTCACCAGAGTTCCAATCGAAGTTCAATAGAATTTCATGAAAAAGGCATAAAATCTCTTCATACATGAGAAGCATCAATTCTCTGTGAAGTGGAGGGAAATATATTGATACACACGGAAATACCTAGAGGCCCGATTGAAAAAATGTTCTTCATTTTCGTGAATTTTAATACGAGTGCTGCGGCTGCAGAGACGAAGCTCAGCTGTGTGGTGACGTATCTGAGCCCTGACTCGTGCCAAGACCACCCATGCCAGCTTGGGTAGTGAGTCGTGTTGCTGACTGTGATGAGGTTGATAGTGTGTGTTGCATCTGCTGGGGCTGTCTCGTATTACCACCTCCAGTGTCTGGTACAAGGTGTGGTGTTCTGCTTGATACTGGTGGCAGTACTGGACTCGCTGGCCATGGATGAAGGGACATTGTGCTTGGTGCACTTGGTACACTCCTCGAGTGTGGCAGTAGTGGTGAATTGGATAGGCTTGCCAGTGGATGATGAGCAGCTGAACTCAGATTTCCAGACATTCCGACAGTGAGATTATTGCCGATACCACTGGCTGAGCCACAGCCACCACTGGGGGTCGCTGCTAGGACAACAGCTGTGTCTGGATGGAGAAAGTTACGTCGTTGCTCCATTCGCTCGGCGTGTTGGGCCAAGCAACGGGTCAGGGCCTCTGGTAGCATCTCTAGTTGCTCTTGGAGGGATGTCAACTTGTCCTCGAGACTCACTAGACGCTCCTCCAGGGAGTCCTGACGCGTGCTCATGTCCGACACTATTTCGTACACTGTATTTTGAGTCTGAGGAGGCAGAAAAAGGTGACATTTTAGGGTGGCATGTTTAAATATCAGCGTCGTGACAAATTTGTGTCGGAATAGTATATTTCAGGGCGAGTGCCATGGGGTTTTTTACTCGCGTGGAGGTGGCGTCCGAGACGAAGCCGAGGCTTTTTTCATTGAAGAAGGGAATTTATATAGCGTTCCACATCTTTTTGATGGCATAGGAAATGATTGGATGAGATTTGGATGAGGTAGGAGGGAAACCGGGATTGTTCTCAATATGAATAAACAGAAAATTCTTACTGAAAAAATAGATAGTCCAGACCGGGATTTGAACCCCGAGCCGAAGGCGAGGACTGGCCAACCACGCGACTAAAAAACCCCATGGCACTAGCCATGAACGATATTTTTCCGTACACGGAGAGAAATGTTGGTGTTGGTAGACTATACAGACCCTTTCTCAATATAAATTTTATATTTGGGAATTTTTGGGACCCGATGCCAGCCACGTCCGCGCCGTGGGTCCTGGGTAACGCCAAGAGCTGGTAAGACTCGTAATTTGATGCTTTATCATGCTCGTGAATTTAGAAAGTGACTATCTTTAAATTAATTTATTAAAATAAATTTGCCTTTTGAAGGAAGGTGGCGAAATGGGAGGTCTCGTACACCTACCCGGCCACTTATAAAATTATATAAAGTGTTCCGAAGAGTCCTAAATTTATCTCTGGCAACCCACTCCCCATGTGACAATTTCTAGCAGGGTATCTGGCAGGGGTACGTATTGTGTACTAAAACCGAAATGTTCAGTAAAAATTACGGAACATTTCTCTCCGTGACGGTATCGTAATTTTGCACAGAAGATTCAGATAAAAATTACGGAGCGCTCTGGAAAAATTCCGTGACAGTTCCGTAAAATTTCCTACAACCACATTTCGCTCCGGAATTACAGAAAAGATACGTAATTTTTATTGAAAATTTCTCTTCGTGTAGTGATTTTCACTTTTAGGAGTTTAGGGAAGGGCCAATACCAATCGCTGGACGAGGAAACGTGAAGGTCGGTACTGAAAAAGACTCTGTTTATGAATTTTTCTACAGCGAATATATTTACAAGGAGGCCGTTATCCGGAGGATGTTTTAGGCCCGGTTGGATTATCTTTCAAATGTGATCTAGATCCTTTTTTGTCAATTTTTTCATCAGGAAATTTCCATTCGGTGTTGCATGACGCAGAGAATTGCAAAAAATATGAATGTATGTTCAAAAAAAAGTGTTACAAAATTCCAAATTTGTGAAAGAACGTTCTTTATTTTTATTGAGGGATAATGCAAAAACTGAGAAAATTAGAAATGTATTATTTAGCGTGGCAAATTGCGCCGTGTCAACCGCCGTCATGGCGGGAGGACGAACTCGTAAATCCTTTGATACACTGCACATGGGCAACTCATCCAAAAAAGGCTCTTTCAAAATTTTCTAACTATTTAAAAAAATTTTTTGATTGCACTTTCACTACGGAATAATGACTATTCGCTGCGTGAAACTGCAAATCAGCCGTCACATTCATGGAAATTACTGCTTGATTGTCAACTGTGACTTTTATTTAATCCTTTTTCATAAAGTTGATTGACAATGAATGATTGTTTTGATTTTTTTTTCAACTTTTTATTCGTCTTGCAATTGGTTGATGGATCAATCAATGATTTCGATGACTACGAGGATGTTATTGTGCGCGCATGATTGCCTAGTTCTCCATAAAAGGGACAGCTGATTTGCACCTAATGTTTCAGAACAGTGTTACGCCGTGAATGGTCATTATTTCATTGTGAAAGTGTAATCAAAATTTTTTTTTAAATATTGAAAAAAATTCGAAAGAGCCTTTTTTGGATCGGTTGTCTATGTGCAGTCTACCAAAGGATTTAAGATTTTATCCTCCTCCCCCCCAATGGCGGTTGACACGGCGCCATTTTCCATGGTAAATAATACATTTATAATTTTCTCATCATTTGCATTATTCCTCAATAAAAATTGAAAACGCTCTTTCAAAATTTTTCATTTTTTTAAAACTTTTTTTAGCATACGTCTGGATTTTTTACGGTTCTCTGCAGCCTGCAAAACTGAATGGAAATTTCGAAATAAAAAAATTGACAAAAAACAATATAGATAACATTCGAAAGATCATCCAACTGGGCCTTCATTTGAGCAACAACTGCATGTCAATTTTCAATCTCGGCAATTTAAGTTCAATTGAAGATCAACGCTTGTGGAATTTTCAGTCATCTTGGAAATTCAACAGAATTGAGTTTTTCCCATCGAGCGATTATTGATATTTCAATCACAGCTGGATCGTCAATAGTTTCTGAACGCAAAACAATAGTGTCTACATTGTTTTGAATTATTTAAAATATAATATTTCTGCTCGACATTCGAGATGAATTTGTCTATCAGTGGTTTTCTGGACATGAAGGACGAAAGAATGAAATTTTTCACTCGTCAATTTCTCTCCAATACTCACTTTTGCCATATCTGTTATTGTATTGGCGTTGTCCATCAACTTCCGCTGGTCCATTTTAACTTTCCTGAGTCTGCAAACACAAATCAACCATCGATAAACAATATCAAAATAATGTATTTCGGTGAATAGAAAATTGACCGGACACATGAAATACTCACGCATAAATTGCCAGGAGGAATTTCCTCTGATGCGTCCGCACGCGACCCGGATTAACCCGTTTCACCAAACGCGTGTGTTTGTATATAAGCCACGTTTCCCGCAGTACATTCGCCGCTGCATTTTTCAACTGAAAAAAACAAGATGATTGACATGTGGAGGAAATCAAATTAAACTTTGAAATGAAAAAAAAAACAGGAACGATTCAGCGATGAAAAGGGGGAAAAAATGAAAGAGAAAAAACTGTTCCCTCACTCTTTTCGTCAACTGTGTGTCCATCATGAAATTGTGCACGTGCTTTTCTGCCCTCGTCAGTTCCAATTTCCTGGAGACCACAGCGACCAGCAGAGCTGTGCAGCCTGCTCCCTGTTGAAATAGTAAAAACGCAACGAAAATTCCATTAGCATAATTTCATTTCCCTTTTCGTTTTATTTATTCTCCCTACGTAAAGAGAAATAGAAATAATGCAGGAAAAATTACCATTATACCGGTAGATACGGCTATGCCGCGTCCACAATACGTGTTAGGTACAATGTCACCGAAGCCGACGCTGAGGAACGTGATGGCTATGAGCCACATTGAGTTGAGCAGGTTTGCATGTTCCTCATCATGAAACCTGAAAGATTGTAATCAGTATGCGGCATAGTGAACCTACATGTGTTTGTCGTGCTGGTAAATGCCTCGTGAGGATTAGAAATATGTTTTTTTTATGCATAACATGGGAGAATTGTGGAAAACGTACCATAAGATGGAATTCTTTATAAGGTCAAAAAACGGTGAACGTGGGATTGAAGGGAGCTGAATTTCAGAGGTTGCACGAAGCTCGAACTGAACTGGGAATTTTTTGTACACCGTGAAAATGATTTGAAAATTCATTTTATTTTCATTAATTTTTTTATTTTTATTTTTATTTTTTTTGTTAGTTGTCGAAATTCAACAACTAGTTGTTGAAATTCTTCAACTAAGCCCAAATAATATGTAAAGGATACTCACGATGTTTTCGTAACAATTTGAGATATGATGAAAAGGATAGTAAGGTTTTCGAATTATGAATACAGTTTTTGAAATTGAAATTTCACACTTTGATAATCAGTACAATTTTCATTGTATTCATGGAATATTGAATGCAAGTTGAAATCGTCCCGAAAATTATCTGTTTACCACACGCGGTACACAGCCCAGAGTTTTGGAATGAAAATTTGAAAATCTAACTACTTATGATATTTTTGGCGGATATTTTCATTGATAGGGCTTCTAGGCACTTCAAAAAAAGATATCAAATTTTTTCAAATTTTTCTGAGGCTTTACTGCAGTGCACTGAGAGAAAAAATTATTCCTGCCCAGGAATGATATTCTCGTCAGAAGATAATATTTTTTCAGAACGAATTTTTCCAGGACAGTCATTTTCAGAGAGTTCAAGTCTATCCTCAAAAATTACAGTGATGTTGAACAATCTGAATATTATGCTACATATGACCTTGACAAAATGTTCTCCGATATCTTCCGGATTTTACAAATTGGCGATTTTCTCAGGTAAATAAAATTTGAATAATTCCAAATGTTAATAATTATTATTGGAGTTTCTTCGAGGTCATATGTAGAAGAATATTCTTATAGATCACCATAATTCTCACGCTTGGAACTGATTTTGGAGCTCCTGGAAATGACTGGCCTGGAGAAATATGTTCCAAAAGAGATATTTTCTTCTACTAAGAGTATGAAAAAGATATCACCAATAACCTTTTTTTGGAAGGAATAAATTTTTTTCTCAGTGTGTAATTTAAAAGATCGAAAAAAGTGCGGCGCGGCTCTCATAGCGCGACTAACAGAGTGTTAATCGCAAATAAATATGGCCGTGACTATTCGCACCATTGCGTGAATCACTCCCGTACACTCCATACACTCCACGCATGCGTGAAGTTTGTGTGTTTCACGCAGCCGAATTTTCATACTGCTGTGTATTTCACGCAGTTGAAGTTTCATACTACTGTGTGTTTCACGCAGTTGAAGTTTTATACTACTGTGTGTTTCACGCAGTTGTATTTTTATAC